TGCCGTGCCATTCCCTCGCAGAGCGCCCGAGGCGCACGCAGGGCTCGGCTGGCCGCCTGCCCGCCCGACGGCGGCCCACTGACCGGCGCCCGCTGCCCGCAGGCAAAGCGTGGAAGGAGCTCAACGCCGCGGAGAAGCGGCCCTTCGTGGAGGAGGCCGAACGGCTGCGCGTGCAGCACTTGCGCGACCACCCCAACTACAAGTACCGGCCGCGCCGCAAGAAGCAGGCGCGCAAGGCCCGGCGGCTGGAGCCCGGCCTCCTGCTCCCAGGCCTGGCGCCCCCGCAGCCGCCGCCCGAGCCCTTCCCCGCCGCGCCCGGCTCGGCTCGCGCCTTCCGCGAGCTGCCCCCGCTGGGCGCCGAGCTCGACGGCCTGGGGCTGCCGACGCCCGAGCGCTCGCCTCTGGACGGCCTGGAGCCCAGCGAAGCCGCCTTCTTCCCGCCGCCCGCGGCGCCCGAGGACTGCGCGCTGCGGGCCTTCCGCGCGCCGTACGCGCCCGCCGAGCTGCCCCGCGACCCGGGCGGCTGCTTCGGGGCTCCCCTGGCCGAGGCACTGAGGACCGCGCCCCCCGCCGCGCCGCTCCCCGGCCTGTACTACGGCGCCCTGGGCGCGCCAGGCCCGTTTGCCGGCCCGCTGTCGCCGCCGCCCGAGGCCCCGCCGCTGGAGGGCGCCGAGACGCTGGGGCCCGCCGCCGACCTGTGGGCCGACGTGGACCTCACCGAGTTCGACCAGTACCTCAACTGCAGCCGGACTCGGCCCGACGCCGCCGGGCTCCCGTACCACGTGGCGCTGGCCAAACTGGGCCCGCGCGCCATGACCTGCCCCGAGGAGAGCAGCCTGATCTCGGCGCTGTCCGACGCCAGCAGCGCCGTCTACTACAGCGCCTGCATCTCCGGCTAGGCCCCGCCCGTCCGCTCGCAGCCTCCCGCCGCCGCCCGCCGTGATCTCTGCTCCGCCCTGTCGCAGGTGTATGTCAGCGACGTGCAGCAGCCCCCTAGGAGCCGGTGACGTTACCGGCCTTGCGCCCCGCCGCCCCTGCCACCTCCCAGGCTTCCGGGCCACCTCTGGGGACTCGGGAGGGTGACTAGGGTGGTTCCCACACGTCGCGGGCTTTCCCAGGAAGCCCAGGCCTAGGACCTGCTGGCTGGCCCCACCAGGGTTAAGTTTTTGAAGCGCCTACTCCTTTTTTTCAGTATATTTTCTAGAATCAGATTGTATTTTTTACTTTGCCTTTTTTTTTAAATACGTAATACAGTATATTTAATTTTTAATTAAACTTTTAAACTTTTCCTTCTGAGGGGTTTCAGTGATCTAAAGCGTCACTGTAGCAAAGGCTTTTTCAATGCGAGAAATAATGACGTTTGTTCGGAGCCGGGTCCCCTGGGCCAGGAACGGCGGCCACTGCTGCCAGAGAGCCCCGGGGGCCGTTGCTCCCCACGCTGCCTCTCTGGCTGGCAAGAGGGAGAGCAGCTCCCCCAGCGAGCCCTGGATGCGCCCTTCCCTCCCACTCTCCCCACAGCCTGACTCCCGGTGGAAACCCGTGGCACTGGTCCATCCTCCCGGGACGCATGCCCGGACCGTGGGTGGGAGGCGTGGGGAGCCTCCACACCACCCGAGGCCCCCCGCTCCCCTCTTGTGCAGCCCCCGTTTTAATTCAAGCCTATTGGGGCAACGACAGCAGTCCACACGTCCCCGCCAGGGACCCTCATCCTCACCTCCTCCTTAAAACTTCCTCCCCGCCCAGAGACTGCTCAGAACCCCCCCTCCTGCACCACGCCACTCCCACACTGCTCCCAGAGGTGAGTTGTCTAGCCTTGTCCGGAGACATGGTCGACGACCAGGGCAGGAGGTCCCAGGCCTCACATCTCAAGACCTCAACTCTGAGGACCCATCACAGTAGGCCTGTGCCCCCTCCAGGAGGACTGGACACCCGCTTTCCACACTGACCCCTCGGTCTTCCCTACCCCTGCCGAGCAGCCCCCTCGCTGCATGATCCTGTGTGTTCAGGGAAAGTTGGAATAATCACCCCCAGAAGCGAACCCCTGCACGCTCACACTCCCCAGGGCCAAGGAGGTCTTCTGCACCAAGAGGAGGGGTTATGTGTCTCCCTCTTGGGGGAAGAAACACGTCCTGCCCCCCCACTCCCCCCAGGCAAATGCCCTGAGGGTGGTGCAGCTGATCCTCGCAACCCCAATGTGGAAAAGCCACTCACCAGTCTCCCCTCTGAGAACATGGGTGTCTCTAGTTCTGCATGTGTGTGAGTGACACTCCCGGGGTGGCCACCTACATGGGGACTGCATGTGTGGCACATGGACATGCAGCAAGCCTGGGGCTGGATATGCATGTGCCAGTGTGTCCATACATGTGGGCCCACTGCCTGGAGGCAGTGAACCAACATGAGCCCCACACCTCAAATGGTGGAGCGAGGGGGCTGCCCCTGGGTCCCCTTCCCTATGCCATCAGCAGCAGAGCACAGAGAACTCAAAGGGGCGGAGACACACAAAAGGGGACAGGAACAGATAAGCTGAGGAGGGCAGGAGATGTACTCAGAGGTGTAGAGAGATGCACCAGATTGTGGAGGGACAGAGGGGGACAGGGGAGCAGCCCACGGGATGCTGAGGATAGCGGCCACTCCTCCAAAGCACACAGCAGGGAGGCAGGGAAGCCGAGGCTGAAGGGGACACAAACAGGGTGGTCGCGTCCAGCCACATTTGGAAGGCGGGGCTCTGAGGCACCAATGCTGACTCTTCCTGGGCTCGTGCAATGGAAGAAGTGCACACCACCCGTGAGTGTGCAAGCCACACCCAGCTCTCATGTCACCAACTCCTGCTCTGGGCCACCCCATGGAGCCCCGAGTCAGCAGGCCCAAGGAGCATACCCTTCCGTGGGAATAGCTTCAGCCAGAGGGTGACCCAGCAACCAAAGTCCGCAAGTGGCAGCTTCAGGTGCGGGACCATCCGCCCCCCAACCAGGGCAGGAGACAGAAGATGGGCATGGTCTGTCCTGCTGCCCAAATTCCTGTGAGCAGCCCCCTGAGTGCCTCCCTGCTTAGGCTGGGGCATCTTCCCTCCGCACCTATCCCAGAAGCACCCACAGACGCACAAACAGGAGTGCTAGACAGACAGATAGAGTGACATTCTTACCACCAGGACACATCCCCCTGTGGGCTCCTCACTCCGTCCCACCCCAAGGGTCTGCCCCTCCAGGTCAACAGAGGTGGGGAGCAGCACAGGCCCATTGTCTGTGGGAGGAGGGGACAGACTGGGGTGCTCTGGAAGCTCCTGCCCCAAGGGCCAGGGTGGGAGGCCAGTAGGGGGGCCCAATTTGGCAGGCGTCCCAGCCCAGTGGCTGGAAGTACCCAGGAGCAGGACCAGAGGGGACATGGAAGGGGCAAGGTCAGCTGGTTACAGCAGCAGCTTCTCAGCAGCGGTTGGCAGGTGCTGGGGGTGGGTGCGTCTCACTGCAGGACCCTTCCCAGTGCCTTGCCTGGGGAAGCCCCCTACCCCCCAAGAACTGAACAGCCCTCCTAGGCAAGACCATAGCCCCAGGGCCAGGTGGCTCCAGGCCTGGGCACCAGCTGCTCCTGCCGAGTCAGGCCTTAGCTCCTGGAAGTCCGAGGGGCCGGCCTGGCACTAGCCACAGCTCCCCTCGGCTCCACTGCCTGGACCCTGCCTGTCCCCGGAGTGACCTGGGTAAGGTGTCCATCCCACCCCAGCAAGTAGCCAAGGGCAGAACCAGAACCTGGGGGCTGCGAGTAGGTGTAGAACACCCCTCTCCCCAGCAGATATGGTCATCACCTTGGACACCCTTGGGGACACCAACACAGCCACACACCAGATGAAGAGACACACCTGACTCCAACAAGGCTACGCTGGGACAGGCAAAGCGGGCAAGTGTGTGGGGGACCTAAGTCTCCCTCTCACTCAACTGGACAAACACCCTAGAAAACCCAACTGCTTAACTTACATTCTACAAAACCTACGTAAATTTTTTTTTTTTTTTTGAGACAGAGTCTCACTCTGTTGCCTGGGCTAGAGTACCGTAGCATCAGCCTAGCTCACAGCAACCTCAAACTCCTGGGCTCAAGCGATCCTCCTGCCTCAGCCTCCTGAGGAGCTGGGACGACAGGCATGTGCCACCATGCCCGGCTAATTTTTTCTATATATGTTTTTAGTTGTTTGGCTAATTTATTTCTATATATAGTAGAGACGGGGTCTCGCTCTTGCTCAGGCTGGTCTCGAACTGACCTCGAGCGATCCTCCCACCTCGGCCTCCCAGAGTGCTAGGATTACAGGCGTGAGCCACTGCACCTGGCCCCTACATAAAATTTTAAAGTGTACAATTCAGTGGTTTTGATATACTCACAGGGTTGTGGATCATCACCACTATCTAATTTTAGAGCTCTTTTTTCTTTTAAAGACACGAGTTCTCGCTGTGGTGCCCAGTCCGGCGAGCGGTGGCTCCTCACAGGCGTGGTCAATGCCCTGCAGCCTGGTTCCAGCTGTCCTCCCACCTCGGCCTCTGAGGAGCTGGGACCACAGGCACAGGCCACCATGCTGGCTTTAGTTTTAGATCTTTTTCATCACCCCCCAAGACCTTTTACTCCCCATTCTTCCCTGCCCCCTGCCCCTGGTCTCTATGCCTGTTCTGGACATTTCTTACAGATGGAATCACATGACATGTGGCCTTTTCTGCCTGGCGTGGCTCACGGAGCCCTGTTTGCAAGGTTCGTCCACATTGTAGTGTGTGTCAGAACTTCCTTTTGGGCCGGGCGTGGTGGCTCACGCCTGAAATCCTAGCACTCCGGGAGGCCGAGGTGGGCGTATTGGATCATTTGAACTCAGGAGTTCGAGACCAGCCTGAGCAAGAACGAGACCCCATCTCTACTAAAAATAGAAATTGGCCAAACAACTAAAAATAGAAAAAATTAGCTGGGCAGGGTGGTGCGTGCCTGTAGTCCCAGCTACCCAGGAGGCTGAGGCAGGAGGATCCCTTGAGCCCAGGAGTTTGAGGTTGCTGTGAGCTAGGCTGATGCTACGGTACTCTAGCCCAGGCAACAGAGTGAGACTCTGTCTCAAAAAAAAAAAAAGAACTTCCTTTTGTGGCTGAATACTATTCCATCCTTGTATGGACATACCACATTTTATCCATCTACTCATCAACGAGGGGACATTTAGATTGTTTCTACTTTTTGGCTAATAATGCTGCTATGAACATTTGTGCACAAGGTTTTGTGTGAACGTGTTTTCCTTAAAATTGCAAAAATTTGTATCTCTAATGACCACGTCTTAACAAGTGGTTGAGGACCTTGACCCCATACGCTAGAGTAGCTGACCCCCAAAGGGGAGTCCAGAGAGGCTGACCTCCAAACCCAAACAGTCCCCCAAAACTAGAGCTGTGCAGGGACTGGCTCAATCCTCTACCCGGCCCACCCACCACTTCTGCCCAGGCTGGGGCGGAGCAGCCCCTGAGCAGGCTCCAGTCCACGGTCAGGAGAGGGCCGTGGCCAAGCGTACTGGGGGACAGTTCCCTGCCCAGGACCCGGGGAGGGCAGGGTGGGGGCACAGGTTCCTCCTGACTGTGTCTCTACGGGTCTGCCCACCACCAGGACCTGGGCTCCCAGGGAAGCTCCGTGCGCCACGACCCCGCCCCGTCTCCCACGACCCCGCCCGCCGGCGCGAGAAAACAGGAAGCAGCGCGCGGCGGCGGCGCTGCGAGTGCAGGAAGCGGCTGGCGGGCGCGGCGCTTATCTCTGGCCGCAGCCCCGACCCCTGGCCTCACGCCGGGCAGGGGGCGCCCGGGGCGGCCCAAGGACAGGGCCTGCTCACCTGGCGGGGAGCCCTGGCCGCCTCTTCCCTGAGCCTTGGCTGTCACGATGGGCTATGGGGGGAGGCTGCAGGGCCTGCGACAGGAC